TCATGCCTGGGGCCTGGGATGGACTTTTCTGAGAAGTAGGGGAGTGGCCCACCCGTGAACGGCTGGACAGCAGGGTGGGATGGTGAGGATGGCCACCGTCACCCATAAATATGGGGCTCTTTGAAATTGCCAGCCCGAAGCTGGGATCCAAGGCACAAATTTAATGGGAAGCAATTAAAAACTCACTCAGTTCCATCCTCTGTACGTCTCCCCCTCACAGAATCCTGGCCGCATCTGACCGTCTCTCTAACCAAGCACACTCAGGGGGCCCCCAGCCCCTCCCTCAGCCCCTCCCCCTCTCCGAGCCCATTCCTGCCCTTCTGCCGGGGGGGTGGCCAGCCCGGCTTCTCTTCCTTGGAACTGCCACCCCCGCCCCCTCCCACCCAGCCCACGTACGGCCCGGCCTGGGGGCAGCACAGGCTCAGCCGGTCTGGCCAGGCTGGGCATTCAGGCCTCCCATGCAGCCAGGCCTGTCATTACCCCACCCTGAGCTATTGGGGAGGTTGGCCACTGGTGTGGGCTGCCAGGCCGAGGGCCGAGGGCCGAGGGCCGAGGGCGACCCGCTCAGCTTGGGGCTGGGCCTCCACTTCTGAGCCCAGCAACTGTGGCTTTCTGGGGCCTCTCCTCTGGGCCCGCCAGACCCCGGTCAGGGTGGCCAGAAGAATCTCAGGGGGCCCAGCTCCTGGTCCCTGATTCTGTGTCTTCCCTGAGCCTCCCAGAGGCTGGGAAGGAGGCCTCGTCACCCTCCTCACCCAGATGAGGAAATCGGTTGAGAGAGTTCAGTGCTGTTGCCCAATGTCACGGAACGGGTAGTGGCAGAACTGGGACTCGACCCCGGGAGGGCTGGGGTTATTTCAGAGGGGAGCCACAAAGGGGCCACCATTTCCTCCCCCAGATTCTGAGAGTGCCAGTCCGGGGGCCCAGCCTTCCCAGCGGGGCGGGATCCACCCTGGGGAAATCCCAGTTGCTGCCAGAGCCACGCAGGAGGCAGCCGGTCCACACCGGCCCGGGTCTGTTCTGGAAGCCTTGGGACAATGCAGGGGGATGCTCTGAAGTGACCTTGGTGACACAGTGTGTAAACTCACCGAAGACTGTGACAGTTCCGTTGCAGATTATTTCCTGAAGTTTAGATGTCTTAGAACTTAATGGCGTTGTCTCTGGTTAAAAAAAAACAGGATCTTAACTCGTGGCTGTGGGCTGAAAAGTTTGTGAACTTCTGCAGAAATAAATGGCTCTTAAAAAAATATTTTATTTGTTAGAGAGAGCTTGAGCCAGGGGGAGAGGCAGAAGCAGGCTCCCCTATGAGCAGGGAGCACGATGTGGGGCTCCATCCGGGGACTCCAGGATCATGACCTGAGCCGAAGGCAGACGCTTAACCAAATGAGCCACCCAGGCACCCCAGAAATAAATAGTTTTGGACCAACTTTCAGCTAGACCAGTTTTTGAGCAGAGAGTGAGGCTGTCTCCTTTTTGTCTTAAAAAAAAGTCTGCTTGATTTTATAAGGATCAAAATGTTACGTTCGGTGTGTGGGCAGGGTGGGGGGTGGGGGAATAATTTTGAGCTGGCACCAGCTCACCTGGTCTTAGTCTTCTTGTTCCCAGTAAATAAGGAGGAAAGGTCCCGGGACCCGGGTCTGCTTGGCCCACGGAGATTCTTCTGGCCGTCCTGGTAGGGGTCCGGTGGGCCGGGCAAAGTCCCTAGAAGGACACAGGCTCTGGGCTCAGAAGGCAGCAGAATGGCTAGGTTTGGGTAGGAGCAGGAGCCCTTTTCCTAAGGATGCTGGGGGAGTGGACACAGGTCACAAAGTGTGTGTGGGGGTGGGGTGGGGAGTTGTGATCCCGGGCTTGGCTGACCTCCTAGGGCTCTGGGGACGAGGAGTCTAAGGAGTCCCAGCTCCCACCTGGTGGGAGCAGGACCAGAGCCGAGGGGTGGCTCCTTCGTCCTCATTGGTAGTGCGCTTTCCAGCTGACAAGGCATTTTCACAGCCTTATCTCATTTGACAGCTGTCTTTGAGAGGGGAGGAGCGCTGATGTCCTCATTTGACAAAGAGGGAAGTTGAGGCTGAGAGGGAAACTGGCCTCTCCGAGGTCACATGGCTGGCAAGAGGCTTTTGAGGCGGGCAGGGATGGGTGAACAGATCTGGGGAGAGGGCTGTCCTTGAAAAAACCAGCATGTATGGTAACAGTTCTGTCGGCATAAAACTAGGCAGTGAATGCTGGGAGAAAGAAGAGGAAGTAAGTGCCAACCCAGCCCTGCTCACCTCAGAGGCAAAGATGATGGATGGCAGACCCATTAGATGTCACAGTAAAATGTTCTTCAAGCTGTTAGGAGCGGCAGGCTCCGGAAGCTGGAGCGAGTGTAGGAAAAGTGTCTGGTCTCTGCTGGTGTTTTTCCTGCAGCAGGTGGGTGGGACCCCGCCAGGGCTTCCTGGCCCAAGTCAAGCCTCCACAAATATTTCTCCAGCTCCACTCATGTGCAGAGCTGCTCACGGTCTCGGGGGACCTCCTGTTCCTTCTGCACACCTGGGCCCATAGCCCCATCTGGGTTCCCCATAGACCTCCCCTGCTCTGGGCCTGCCCTTCGCCTGGGCGCCCCCTGCACCTGCCCTTCTCCTATGCTCAGCCCCTCCCCCACCTGTGATGTGCTTGGCTGAACTGGGCAGGGAAGGACAGCTTCTTAGTCACTTCTTCGGGCCACAGGTGGAAAGTTCTAGGGCCTGTGTTCCCCCCTCCCCCACTCCTATTTCTCCAAGTGCCATTTGGCTGTGTCACAAGAAAACAAGGGCAGGAAGTTGGCAGGGGTGGGGCGGGGCGGGGGTCCGGCCACCTGGCCAGCCTACTTCTGGACTCAGAAAGCTTACTGAAGGGCTGGGACCATGGATGAGGGGCACCTGAGTAAGGAGGCTCTGATGATGGAGTGCCCATCCTGTCCTGGGCAAGCCCTCGGCCTTCTCTGGGCCTCGGTTTACCCATCTGTATCAAGGCTGTAAGAGTCCCTGCCCTACTTACTTTCGGGGAGGCTGTGATGAGGTCATCACAGGAAAGCACTTATTGTCAATCTCGAAGGGTACTTATCTCTGTTGTTCAGCCCGCAGGCGTCCTCGTGAGCTGTTCCTCTGAGCCTTGTAAGGAAAACCTGGGAGGTGTGGTCCAGGCAGAAACCATCCCTGTTTGTGTTGGTGTGTGTGCCTGTGGGAGGGGGGGTGGAAGCGTAGGGGAAGGTGGGGGAGGGCATTTGGGAACCAGGAGAGTGCCTCCTGCCTTACTGAGTGCTCGAGCATTCATTGAGCACCCCTGCTTCTGTCCTCCAGGAGCCCCCAGCCTCATAGAGGGGCCAACCACAACGCAAGACTTCAACTTCCCCACCATGCTAGATTGTCCCAGCCGGCCCTGTGGTTTGTCAGGCCATCCGCATGGGATCTCAGAGGCCTCCTGTGTGCTCAGGGCTCACAGATGACTCCAACCTAAATCACTCTAAAGCACGCACACTTGCTGATTCTCCCGGAGGAAGCTCAAGGACACGCGGCCAACCCCAGGGGGCCGGGCTTGGTTGCTGGACAATGCTGTGAGCTCAGGGAGCCATGTTGGTGGGGACCATGTGGAGGGTGAGGGGTTCCCTTGATCTAGCCAGGATGAGTGAGGCCCAACCCCTCTCCCCCATAAAGACACCCCCCAAACCCTGCCCTGCTTTCTTTCACCACCATTCAGTTTCCAGAGATCTTTCTAAGGTGTGTGGACCCCTCTCTGCCTGGCATCCAATGCCCTTGCCCATCCCGGGGGCTCGGTGATCTTTGGGGCAGAGGTTTCTGGCCCTTTCTCCCCGGCCCCTCCCCCACAACCCCAGGGTCTGGTCCGACTGGATTCCTCCAGGTTCCTAGAACTAGCTCATTTCCCCAGCGCTGGTACCTTTGCCCTCCATGTTGCTTCTCCCCAAATGTCCTCTTCACCCAGACCTGCTGCCTTGCACAACTCCCAGGGGCCCCACTTGTGGTGATTCCTGCCCTCAGTGCCCTCTGCACATAACCCGAGACTACAGGCCACCCCCCGCACCCCCGAGTTGTGCCCTGCGGCTCCCCTTCCCTCCTAAGCCCCCTCCCCAGTGCCCCACCTCCATCCAGTCTGAGCTCTTCCTCCCCTTTCCAGGTCTCATGGGACTTTGCCCCCATCCTGGCGTTATCTGACCACCGCTCTGTGTGTCTTCCTTGAGTAAACAGTCTTTTGCTGGGCTTATGCTCCCGGGGCCTGGCCCATGGCTTGCTCTCCGTGACCTCCCCCACTCAGTTTGGGCCAAGTGGCCTCAACCCCAGCAGGAATTGGCCGAAATTCTCCTGGTGGGGGCGGGGGACAGGCTTCCTTCTCTCTTCAGCCAAAAGACCTCCTCCTCTGGCAGGGCTGGGAAGCCTGGTGGTGGGAAGGGAGGGGTAACAGGGGACAGACCCAGGAGTCCTGGTCCCCCAGCCCCTCGCTCCCCAAAGTGCCCTCATCAAGCCCACACCAAAATCGCCGGGGAGGCAAGTGCCCAGATGGTGAGACTCGGAATAGTAAGGATGGGGCCAGAGGGGACGGTGATAAGGACGGGACTACAGTAATCAGGGTGGAGCTGCTCTTTGATATTCCCAGGACTTCATCCTCAGACCCTCTCCCTGACGGTCCCCGCCCTATGTGCCCACCCAAGCCTGGAATGAGGGAGCCCTGAGGTGTGGGGATCCTGGTGTTCAGGACCCGACCGTGGCTGGGGCTGCTTGCCCCATGCGTCCAGGTGCTTGGGAGCTGTGACTCAATGTCTGTCTCCAGGCTGACCTCAACAATGGGCCCGGGGGCAGGGGGGAGAGGGCAGTTTCCCCCGAGACTGGCTCTCCAGGATCCTGACTCAGGGGCCCATCAGCCTTGAAGTGCCTTTGTTGGCCCAGGTTCAGGAATCCAGAGAAACTGGTCAGGGGGCAGGCCCCAGGGACTGAAACCCCTCCCTCTGCTCCCGCCCCCACCGCAGAGCCATATAACCGCTCCTGTATCGGGTGCGGAGCCCGTGGCTGAAAGGAACCGTCTAGGCACAGTGGCTGGGCTTGTGCTTCTGACCCCGGAGAGCTAGGGAGCCGATCCGACGTTTCTGGACTCCAAGTGAAAGTCTTCCCTGTGGACGGACGCCAAGGGTCTGTCCTCAGCGCTTGGATTCCTACAGCCCCCAGGGCCGGACCCCCACAGCCTTCCAGGTCCTAGAGCCCCGCAGACGCTGAGCCATGGCCTCCATGGGGCTGCAGGTGATGGGCATCGCGCTGGCCGTGCTGGGCTGGCTGGGCGCCATCCTGAGCTGCGCGCTGCCCATGTGGCGCGTGACGGCCTTCATCGGCAGCAACATCGTCACGTCGCAGACCATCTGGGAGGGCCTGTGGATGAACTGCGTGGTGCAGAGCACCGGGCAGATGCAGTGCAAGGTGTACGACTCGCTGCTGGCGCTGCCGCAGGACCTGCAGGCGGCCCGCGCCCTCATGGTCATCTGCATCATCCTGGCACTGCTGGGCGTGCTGCTCTCCGTGGTGGGGGGCAAGTGCACCAACTGCGTGGAGGATGAGAGCGCCAAGGCCAAGACCATGATCGTGGCGGGCGTGGTGTTCCTGCTGGCCGGCCTGCTGGTCATGGTGCCCGCGTCCTGGACGGCCAACACCATCATCCGGGACTTCTACAACCCGCTGGTGGCCTCGGGCCAGAAGCGGGAGATGGGTGCCTCTCTCTACATCGGCTGGGCTGCCTCGGGCCTGCTGCTGCTGGGGGGGGCCCTCCTCTGCTGCAATTGCCCGCCCCGCACCGACAAGCCCTACTCGGCCAAGTACTCCGCCGCCCGCTCCGCCCCAGCCAGCAACTACGTGTAAGGCGACTCGGCTCTGTCCTGCCCGGCTTTGTTCCTCCCTGGACTGAAGGCGCGGCCCCGTGAGCCCAGGATGGCCCCGGGGCTGGACAAGCGGGGACTGAGCCAGGCCATTGTTCCGGCAGCCCTCAGCCCCTTCTAGCCCCCTTGGACACTGACCTGAGGCCCCTTCTACTCAAGCAAGGGTGGACAGAAAGAGACTCCTGTGCCACCCTCCGCTGAAGGGCCGGGGGATACGGGAGAGGGGGCGGAAGTAACAGGTGTGGCGGGGGAGGCGGGAGCAGGCTCCTGCTGGCCGGGACAGCTCAGCCCTGACTTTGCCTGGGCTCTGCCTCTTGAGTGCGTGCCCTGCGCATGCCCGTGTTGGCCAGGAGATCGGCTGGGGCCTCGCTCACCCACCTGACCGTAGCGCCAGAGTTGACACGGAGTTGACAGACGGGTTTGGAGGGGAGGGGTGAAGGTGCTACAAACTGGTTTGGGTAGTGGTGGGGAGGAGGCCATGGAGGCTGCCCAGGCAGCCCGCATCCCTTCCTGCCCCCACCCTGCAGCCTCGGGCTCTGCCTCGGCAGCAGGACCCCGGGACTCTTGGGACTTGCGCGACATCTGCCACCCCTGCCAAGGTCACTGGACATCCTGGGGACAGCTCGGCGGGGGGGGGCGGTCTCTCCCTGGCCTTCACTCCCGGGAAGTCCTGGGCCTTTTCCCTGCTGCCTCTGTGGTTTGTTTTATAACTTAAGGAGATCTGTTTGTCATGGTAATTACTATTATTTTCTACAATAAATGGGACCTGTGCACAGGAAGACCGTATCGTTTCTGATTTCAGCCATGAAGGTGGGTAGGGCAGGGCTAGAAGCCTGGGCAGGGGGTCGGCGAGGAGCAGGACCACTGTGATGTGGCCGGGACAAGAACACTTAAAAAAAAAAAAAAATGGTTTTGAGGAATTGTGACAAATCAGAGCTGACCCTCACCTTGGAATCACCTTGCTCAAAGCCCTTCATTTGGTAAAAGGTAAAGCCATACATAGGAAACACGCTGTGTGCCCAGGACTGTGGTGAAGGGTTGGGGACCCCAGGAGGGAGGCCAGGTAAGAACACTCAGCCCTGGGAGTGGGCCACCTGCCCTCTCCCCCTTTGTCCCCGCTTTGGGAAGCCAGGCTGGTCCGCTCGCCCTCTAGGTCCCATGTCCTGGCTTTGGTCCAGGCTGTCCCTGCTGTGGGTCTGGAATGTCCTGTTCCCTTTCTCCAGCCCCCTGAATCCTGCTCGTCCTAAAGGCCCAGCTCCAAGGCTCCTTCCTAATGAGCCTCCAAGACACACTTGGAGCCGAGCTTTTGGAAATGAGAATCCTGGGCACGTGAAAGTATTTGGTCAAGGCCAGAGGCATGAGCATGGGTTTCCTGGTCCCCCAGTTAGGGTGAGAGGACCTGCCACCATGGCAGGCGTCAAAATGGCACATCTGTGGCCCTATCATGCCCGCCTCAGGGACGGCCCGGGGTGGGAGCCCTCTCTGTTCCGTCTTTTCTCATTTTCGTCCTTCTCAGGGACAGATGTCACCTTCCTGGGGGAGAGAATCAGAGCCAGAGGCCTGCAACCCCTTCCGGGACTCATTTAATAGGCAGAACTCCCTGAGGGGCAAGGTTGGCACAGGGGTCCCATTTTACAAATGAAGCAGAGGAGCCCCAAGGACAGGCCTGGCTGAGGTCACGTGGAGGGTCAGAGGTCAGCGGGGGGGCTGAGGACTGGGCCTCACTCCCTCCACCTGGGCCACATCCTGCTTCCGGTACAGGTAGACAATGCCCGAGATGAAGCCATCACTGTCCGAAGTTCCAGGCCCCACCTCAAGCTCGGAAGCGGCCAATTCCCACCGGTCCACGGGCCAGGCCACCAGGCGTTGCCACGCCCCGGCCCGTTCCAGCCCGTCCAGCGTGGCCTCCAGTGCCTCCTGGTAGCGCAGGTTGGATGGGTTGGTCCTGGTGGTCAGACACACCAGCCCCCCTGCAGAGGGCGGGGTGGGGGAAGGGGGGTGGGGGAGGGGCAGGAGCCTTGGTTCCAGGCTCGAGGCCCACCCCTTCCCGGGAAGGTTGTCGCTTTCTGCTCCTGTCCTCAAGGGTGTCCTCAGGGGCATGTATCTTCTCAGCTTTGTCTCCGGGCCAGCCTTTCCCCACCTCCATAAACCTCGGCGGCTCACCGTTCCTGCCCCAAGAATACCCTTCTGCGCCCTCGGCCTGACAGCCTCCTATGCACCCTTCCAGGCCCAAGTTACCCTGGGAATTCTTGGCTTAATCCCCTGGATGGGGGGGGGGGGCCCTCCGTCCTCACTGCTCACCCAGCCCCTCTGCTGGAGGATGTGGCTCTGTCTGGAGGCACAGGAAGGAAGCACTCTGGATCTCGGGCAAGTCCCCTCACCTCTCTGAGCCTGTTTTCCCGGCTTACAGAGTGGGGCTGATTCCCCGGGGTCACAGGAAGGACTGCACGGTCATTAAGCACTGGCTGAATGAATAAATGACCTATCCCTTTGGGTCCTCTCCAGGCACCTATAGCACGCCCAGTGTGGGCTCAGATATACGGAGGAGAGATGGTGTCTGGAGGGCTTTCTGGAGGAAGGGGTGAGGAGAAGTAGGGCCCTGCGCAATGGGTGGATGGGGCTCCGTGGGAGGAAAGGCTCCAAAACAGGGAAGCCTGTGCCACGTGGGCAGACAGACGGGGCTCCGGCCAACTGAGGGGCCTGATGAGCACGGGCTGGGCTGGTTCTGATGGGAGCTTCCTGTTCTCTCGAGCCCAGTCACTACCTCTCTGACCCGACTCAAGACCCTGCTTCTGTCAGCCTGCACAGTTCCCTGAGGCCGAAGGCTGCCCGGACCTGTCCAGGCTTAGCCACGGGTCCTGCTGGGCCCAGTGGGGGGCGAGGAGGGCAGGGAGAAGATGCAGTCTTGCTGCAACAGGGGCACCTTTGCGGCTTGCTGGCCCCGTCCCGCAGCCGAGTCAGGGCCCCACCACCCTCCTGCTCCGCCATTCCTCTTTCTGCCGATGACTTCCCTGCGGCTGTCTGCCTGACTTTTTGTTTCTGCCGGTGGCCGCCTTCTGTGTGGCCTGCCCTCACTCCCCGGCCCGGCCCACGGAAACACCGCTCTTCGGTGTGTACCTGCGGCCCGGAGCACAGCCCAGCCGGGCACAAGGCACACGGTCGGAGCACAGTGAACACCATCCCCAGCTGCACATCAGCCCACGTGGGGAGTTTACAAAAAGTGCCTACCGCAATCCCGTGGGGGCCGGGGCTGTGCCACTGCTTGGAGGCGAGGAGACAGAGCCAGAGAGGAGACTGAAGCTGTCCGATGGATAAGAGGCCACCTGGCTACCCGTCTGCCCTGCCCGTTTGCCTGGGTCTGTTGCTGGTGGCCGCCGGTGGCTGGGATGCAAGGCTAGGCTATGTGACCCAGGGCAGGCCCCTGCCCCTCGCCTGGCCCGAGAGGTTCTGAGGCTGGTGTCTGTGCACATGGTGAGGGGGAAGGTGTGTGCCTGGGTTGGATAGGCTGCTCCTCACCTGGCTTGGTGACTCGCAGAAGCTCAGGTATAGCGCTGCAGGGCACCTGGCCGTCACTGAGGGCACCCACTATCAGCACTGCATCGAAGGTCCCTATGTAGAATGTGGAGATGTGCTGTGGGGGTCTGTGTTTGTCGTGGCCTCATGATACCCAGCAGGAGGGACCAGCCCTGCCACTTGCAGGGGGACATGGCAGCTGTGGCCCCTCCCGGGCTGACATCAGATCATGGGGTGGAGTGCCAGAGAGAGAGAGGGGGGCTCACGGGGGCTCAGAGAGGGTCTCAGTGAGGCTTTGGGGGGGCTCAGTGTGGGAGGGGGCTTGTGGAGGGGGAAGGAGGCTGGACAAGAGAAAGGTGCCTGGGTGGGAGGGAAGTACCTTCAGAGCTGGGCAGAGGCTCCTGGCCCAGAATGCAGAGGCTGAGGCGCTGGTAGAAGCCACGGGCTCGGGCCTGTTCCAGCATCTCTGGGCTCCCATCCACTCCATGCAGCTGGAGGAAGCCCCGAGCCTGCAGCTGAGGTTGAGGGGGGTGGGGACTCAGTCACAGTTCACACTTGCCATCTCCCAGCTGGGTCCCTGCGCCTGGGGAGGGCAGTGGGCCCCACTGTAAATGCAGTCCAAGTATTTGGGACCAGTGAGTCTGAGGGGGGAGGCAAAGTTCTGGGGCCAAAGTTCTGGGTGAAAGGAAATTTGAACAAATGCGGAGCTGAAGAGAGGGCAGGGGATCCAGGGAGGCCTCACCTCGGCAGCCACCAGGCCGGTGCCACAGGCCACATCCAGGATCAGGGCAGCATGAGGTGGGCCCGGAAGGGCTTGGGTAAGGCAGTCCACTGCGAGGTGTGGGGCACGGTACTGCAGGGCGGCCACATCCTGGGGACAGAGTGCTGAGCCGACCCGCACCCAGTGCCCCACTGTTTGGGGGATCTCCATGTGGTGTTGTCTAGGAGTCAGCCAGGTCAAGCTGTGTGTGTGTGTGTGTGTGTGTGTGTGTGTGTGCCCACTCACCAGGGCTCCAGCCCTGCCGGGACTCCAGCATGAGGTGCTTTCCTCTGCCCAGGGGCGAGGATTAGAGAGTCAGTGCACAGCCCACTGCTGGGAACTGCTCTGCTGGCCAATGCAGCACTCTCTCCTTAGTCCATAGTGACCCCTCAAGAGGCACCTCCTCCAGGCAGCCCCTCTGTCTGGGCTGCAGTCCCAGGGCGGGGAGGTCTTGGTTCCTGATTTCTAGGGGCTGCCAATGTGGAGCCATGGGGCTGGCCAGAGGGCAGGACTGCTGTAGGTGAGCCGAAGAGGGGCTAGTCCTTGAAGGGGGCAGGACTGCAGGGGCTCACCTCATTCTCACAAGCCACCCTGGGGTGATGCGAGGCTAACTCTTCCCACTTTACAGATAGGAAAGTTGAGGTTGGGCGAGCAAGAGAGGTGGAGGTGAGGAGCCTGGCCAGTTTACCTGGTCATAGTCCGGAGCCCAGTGCTTATAGAAGTGCAGCTTGTGGCCCAGGTCGGTGATGCCGTGTAAGACCCCCACCCGGGCCCGCGCCTCAGACAGGCTCCGGCCCTCCTCCTGAGCCATCCTCCTGTGGGGACACAGCCTCGGTATCTCGAGGCCCACTGCGATCTCTCCCATTCCCAACCCTCCACCCGCCAGGCCATTTCATAGGCGGTGACAGTACACACAGGGCGAGACTGGACACGTGGGCTTCAGGGCTGGGGGGACGGTGCTCCCCGGAGCGGGAAGGAGGACCTGCCCCCACCTCCCCACTCCCAATGCGGTGAGCCGGATTCTAGCACCAGAGGGATCTAAGGAGGTTAGGGGGTCAGAACTCACCGCCAATCTGACTCCCCTGCGGTGTTTAGAGCACCGGAACTCGGGGCGGGGCCTGTACGGCCGTACAGGCCCCGCCCCCACCGCCCTCGATGATTGGCTTTCCGCTATGAGAAAGTACCCAATCAAAGGGAAGCGCTGGCACCGCCCCTCCACCATCATCCAATGAGCTCAAAGTTCTTGGCCTTTCTCTAGCCCGGGAAGATCTGGACTCCTCCGCAGCATTTTCAGGGTTTTCCAGTTTAGGAGCATCTCTGTGCCCTCCCGGCTCTCGACGTCCTTTGTATGCTTTTACTTTTAGGAAGTGAGAGCCTCTGAAATCTTATGGGCAAGAGGGGGACCTAAGATCAGCCTTCGTTTTTAGAACGGTCACCTTGGTCTGGGCAACGCCATCCAGTAGAACTTTCTGTGGCGATGGAAATGTTCGATACTGGACGTTGTTTGATATAGTAGCCACTAGCTACGGGGCAGTTGAACATCTGAAATGTGGCTAGTGCTACTGAGGGACTGAATTTTAAGTTTTATTTTGTTTTAATAATTTAAATAGCCATCTGTGGCTAGTGGCCTCCGTGTTGGACAGACCGGGGATCCTTGCTACTCAAAGTACGGTCCAAAAACTTGCAACCTCTGTGCCAGCATCTTTAGCTTGGGTTCCTCCAGGGGCGCCCTTAAGAGGGGAACTGGTTAGAAATGCAAATCCCAGACCAAGTGAATCAGAATCAGATTGCAAGAGGGGCGGGGAGGCCCCAGAAATCTACTTTAAGCAGACTCTCCGGGTGATTTCTGTGCCCCTAAAGTTTCAGAAGCACTAGCCTAGAGAACCTTTGGGGATCAAAGTTTGGGCAGGAGGAGTTTGGGAGCCTGTCGCAGTTGTCCAGGAAGGAGGTGTTGGTAGCCTGAGCCTGGGTAGCAGCCACGGCTGTGCAGAGATAATGGATGAAGTTCAGAGATGTTTCAGTGGTAGAAGCCTGGGCAGCAGGGCTTTGGTGACTGAGAGTGTGTGGCATGGGGAGGGGAAGCAAGCAGTTGGGAGTTGAGACTTTGGGTTGATGATGGTGCCATTCACAAAAAGGGAAGCCGGGGAGGAGGAACAGGTTTGGGGCAAAGAGGATATTCACAGTTTGAGGGTGTTGAGTTTGAAGTGTATATGTGAAGATGTCCAGGACACTGTTTGATGCAAGTCTTGAGCTCAGGGGAGAGGTCAGGCTGGAGACAGATTCAGGGTCAGGAGTATAACCAGTGGTGATTGAGGCAGCTGGTAAACGTGAGATGTGTGGGGAGAGAACAGAAAGAAAGGAGGACAGGGCTCAGGACCCAGCTTGAGGACCCCCAACCCTTCAGGGAGGAAGAGGAGTGTCTAGGAGAGCTGGAGAGAACCCAGAGAAGTCAGGAAGGATGCCAAGAACAGAGTGTTTCAAAAAGATGAGGGATGGCCAACACTGAGGTGGTTTAAAATGAGGCTTCAGAAGTCAGCACCGTCTATAGGGATGTGGAGGTCTTTGGGGGCCAAGGTAGACCCTGCTAGTGTACACCAGTGGCCAGATTTACTTCCTCTTTCTGAGTTAGACGCCGTGCCCCAGCCTCCCTCATCTGTGTGTGTGGCCATGTGGCTGAACTCTGGCCAATAGAAGGTGGATGGTGGTGAAGCGCTTTATTTCCAGACCTGGCCCATAAACACCCCCTTTCCAATCCTCTATGGAGGGGCGCCGAACACCCAGAGGAGAATGGGGCTGCCAGATGACAGCGTCTGGGACCCTAAACGATTGTGCGTAGCTGTGCCCTCCCCACCAACCTGCATCGGACTGTAACAGGAGCAAGAAATCAACTTCATCGTGTTGAGCCACTGAGATTTCAGGATTGCCTGTTACAATAACTCGTCATTTCCCTTAATTAATACAATGACGTGGGCAAGAGCAGTTTTGGGGGACTGGAGCAAACCCAGATTTCAGCTGTCACCTGCCAAGGTCCGAACCCAGATCTGTTTTGGTCCAAAGGCACGCAGTGAACGTGCTGTGAATCCGTTGTGTTCAGCTGCAAATAACTGAACACACAAAACAGCTACAGCTTCAAGACAGAGGGATTGACAGGGCTCATCAAGGAAGCTGAGACTGGGCAGTCTGGTCAGAGGCTCAGCTGTGCCATCAGGGACCCACGCCCTTGTCATCTTCCTTCTCTGCCACCTTTTGCACGGAGGCCTTTGTGCTCATGACTGTCACCTCCTCATGGCTGCTACGCCTCCAGACAGGACAGGATGAAGGGAAAAGGGTAAAGAGCTGGGCCAGCTCAGACTATTCATCATCACAAAAGCTTTATTGGAAGCCCAGGGCCATGAATTCTACTTCATCCTACTGGCCAGATGAGCGGTGGCTAGCAGGTGAATCGGGAGGGGGAGGTTGGGGACAAGGACTGATTCAGTCAGCCGACAGTGGGGGCCCCATCTCTACAGCCTCATGTCCCATTTAGGCCAATAAATATTTATTGTGTACTTTCTGTTTATCAGGCCCTGGGCAGGGTGCTGGAGTCACAGAGATGAGTCAGAAACAGCCCCCACTCTACCCTGGCCTAGTGGGGCAAGGGAGATGGGTGTCTTCTCCTGTTCGGGCTCTGCTCACTAACTCCTCAGTATCTGTGTGCAGGCTTTTCCTTCTAAGCCACCCCCCCCCACCCCCGGTGTCCAGGACCACTCTTTTGTCTGGGGTGGGGGTAGGTGGGCGCTGTGGTGTTGAAAGATGTCATCATGAGGAATGACCCTTTAAGTGAAGTGGATAGCGCCAAAGGCAGTCTTGTTGGATCATCAGAGGGAACCTGGGGAGGCCCCGGAGGGACTGCGTATCTGTCCCCATAGTCTCTCAGTGCCTCTGCTCAATGGTGCCCCACTCACTGATGGGGGGCTTCCTGGCTTGTGAGCACCAATGTGGCTCCTACAGCAATGGCTTCTAGGCCCTGGTGGAGAGCAAGACTTGCCATGGGGGGTCCTGGTGGGAGCTGATGGTCTCAGGATGCCGCTCTGCTATTCCCAGGCATGGACCCCAGGCCCCACTGACTTCTCTCCCCAGAGCCCACTCCATTCCTTCCCCTCCAGAGCCCCCAGGAAACCATCCTAGTCTCAGGGCAGGAGGTGTGTTTCTCTGACACCTCAAAGGTTTCTGTGTCCCGTTATCAGCCCGATTAAGTCCTAAACTTTGGAATCCCAAAGTCTTTCCTGTTTTTTTTTTTTTTTTTGTGCTGACAATGACCTTCCCCTGGAGCAATGGACACCATCCAGTCCGCCCCCCAAAATGGTTTGGGGGTGAAAAGGAGCAGTTTATGTTTCAAAACTATTGTGTGGCCTCACCGATGTACAAGCCAGAGGCCAAGGGCTGCAGGTGGCTGAGGCCAGGTGAGTCACCCTGTGGCCAGAGTGAGTGGTGGGAAAGGGTCAAGTGGACAAAGGTGAGACCATGTTAGGCCAAGAGGGCCCACAGGCAAGACATAGTGATGCCAATGGGCAAGAGTTCTGAGGGGGAAGGCACAACTTTTGGGGACCAGGCATGTGAGGGTGGGACGTGCGCATGCGTGAGGATGTGGGGGTCAGTCGGGATGCTTCTGGATGCAAGTGCCGGGAACCCAACCCAAAGGGGTTTAAATAGTAGGGGTTCGCTGTTTAGTCTTAGCAGAAGTCCACTGGTCTGCGTACCAAGGCTGGCCCCGTGGCCCGCTGATTTTTCTTTTTCAAAGATTTATTTATTTGAGAGAAAGAGAGAGCATGAGCAGGGGGAGGGGCAGAGGGAGAGAGAATCTCAAGCAGACTCCCTGCTGAGCGAGGAGCCCAACGTGGGGCTTGATCTCATGACCCTGAGATCGTGACCTGAGCCAAAACCGAGAGTCGGGCACTCAACCGACTGCGCCACCCAGGCGCCCCGTGGCCCACTGACTTCACCAAGGACCCAGGCTCCAGTCCCCTCTTTGTCATTTTGGTTTGCTCTGAGGGTTCCTTCTGGTCCCAGGATGGTGGCAACACCTCAGACATTCGTGTGTCCTCACATAGAAACCCCGAGGCAGGCTGGGCCTTGTCTCCTTGTCTCTCTCTTTCTTTGGAGGGAGGACATTTTCCCAGGAGCCCCAGACGCTGGGCAAGGGAGGTCTGGCACTTCCAGGCTCGGGTGTGGGAAGCGAGCCCTGCCTGTGGGAAGCAGGGAAGGAGGGAGGGGATGGCTGCTGGTGCAAGGTGCAGCCCCCCGCTCCTCGGTATGTGCCAACGCGTGCGCTTCCACCTGCCTCTGTGTCTGATGGGTGGGAGCGTCCCCAGGGGCCGCGGTCACCAGTCACCAGGCCGGGACTGGCTTTCTAACCCTGCAGGGGCTGCCAGAGTTGTAGCTTCAGATCTGCATCTCACAGAGACGCCCAGATGGCAGTGTGGGGAGTGGACCCCAGCCTGTTGTAATGATCCGGGCCAGAGCTGGAGTCCCAAGCAGCGCG